TTTTCTTTCAAGAAACTACCAGAGATACTGACTGATAACATTATTGTGATTATCAGTTTAGTTCATGAAATTATGTTTGTGTAAGATAGCTGACTTCAAAAACGTAGAAACCAGCGGTAGCTAGCTATAGGTAAGCTTCCAGCTCATAAAGTTGGTTATACTCTTGTTGTGTTGTTTTATTTTTTTAGCAGATTGTAATAAAAAGTATAATAGGAATAACACCAGCATTGCTGCAAGAAAAATGAAAAAATTTCACAGGATTATCATGGGACATAGAATGGAATAAGATACACAGTTTTCTAACAGCCATAATAAATATAGAAAATAGCAAAGGGGCAATTTAATGATTTTTAAAAGTCATCAGAAGAACAAAATCTATGAATTCCACTAGTCAAATAGTGTGTATGCTTAGTAAATCTCTCTCTCTCATGCTTGTGTGATTCTAAAAAATATTGATTTTTTTTTGGGTTTCTATTACAGAATGGATATAATATTGGGCATTCTTTTCAATATTTTAGATTATATATGGTGTTGCTTTGACTTCTGAGATTCCATTAACTTTCTTGAAACAGCTATTTTTAAAATACCTTTAGGGCTTGCCAATTACAACTGAAGAAAAAAAAAACAACCCCTAAGCTTTATGTCTTCTCAGTTTTGTTTTATACCTTCCCATATAACTTTTCTTTGAGTCCCACTGTTCTAGTTTTCAACTTGGCAAAATAAAAAAAATAAAAAAAAATTCAATAATTTTCTTAAATGTTTTATAATATATGATGAATCTTAAACTCCAGGAAGCAAAATACAAACCACCTAAGTTATTAACTATGAGAAGCTTTCACTGGAAAGGAATTATAGGTATTATGAGCTTTGTATTCTGGAAACAAATAGAGTTAAAATAAGGTTGCTGGGTTTTCCCAAAAAACCATAACGAGGAACATTCATGATGTATCATTTTATCGATACCTGTGGCTGTAATCTTCAAGGCCCAATTCCAGAACGGGATGCGGTGGTGGTGAAGGCGGGACTTCGCTCTCGCCCCATCCGTCACTGGGAGGAAATGGCTCTATAAACAAAGAACAAATGCAGCTGTCATAAACTGGAGGCAGAACACTTCAGTGCCGGGTTTGGTTTCAGTCCATCTCTCAGACTCAATTTTCAGCAACACATAAGCAAACCTTGAAATAAATAATTTCTCATATGGAATGGAAGGATTCATACGAGAGCTAATGCAGCCTGTACGAACTAAGCCTGCTAATATGTTTTTACGCTGGTGACCTGCGGGCAACCCCTGGCAAGTCCATGCATCCTGACTACCTTTTCCAACCTAGGACAGGCTGACACATACTCATTACCTGTGATTTGTGGAAGATTAACAAAGCTATTTCTTTTATGACAACCTTGTTTTGTAAACAAGACTCTATAATGAATGCTCTGGATTACTGTATATGGTGATTTGAACATTTGCCTTAGTGACAAAAATAATTTTATTATTTTTTTTAAAGATTTTTATTGGGGAATTGGGGGGATGGGAACAGTGCTGGGGAATTGGGGAAAGGGGAACAGACAA